TACGTACGTACGTACGTACGTACGTACGTACGTAGTACGTACGTAGTAGTAGTACGTAGTAGTACGTACGTACGTACGTACTACTACTACTACTACTCTCTCTCTCTCTCTCTCTCTCTCTCTCTCTCTCTCTCTCTCTCTCTCTCTCTCTCTCTCACTGCAACAACAACAACAGAAGTTGAAAAAAAAAAAAAAGGAAAGAAACATCACACAGGATGCAAAAGGCTTCAGCTCTCATTTCATTCAACTCATAAGCAGCATGTACAACATAACAACATTAGGGTAAAAGGAAAAAGTAAAAGAACAAAATTGCCCTTAACAACCCTTAAATTGCAACAAAATTGATGAGTGAAGGCATCTCCTTCCCACCATCTTCGCCCCCAACAAACCCCCCCCCTTTCCTTCTCAAGCATGTATAACCCCTAACCTGTGGAGGTGGAAACGCAAGCGTTTGGTAGGATGGTGATCTGACCAACTAATTGATAACAGGAAGGCTTAGGCTCAGCGATAGACATCCAGGTTTGGGTGAGGGAAGTCAATCATTCAAACCCCTAAAGTTTGATCCAAATTCCATGTGCCCAATTCAAGCAATAACTCCATACATAAAACAAGAAGAATGATAAAGTAGAAAAGATAAACCTCAAACAGGAAGAACATATGAATCAGCTACTAGATGATCTAGGCCATAAATATCCAGCCATAAGATGTCCGATCTAATATTAAAGATAAGATTACAAAGGAGTGGGGAAGGAAAATAGATGTCATGTATTTATTAAACTGTTGGTCTAAATACTTCATATACTAAGGACTCTTTGAACATCGTCTGTTTTTTTTTAATATTTTCAAGTTCCAATGTGAACTCATAGATGCCTACCTTTTTTTTTTTTGTTTTTTTTTGAATCTGATCAAAGATGCCTACCTTAAATCTATATTTAAATTTTTTAAGAAATGTGGAAAATAGAAGACGACATATAATGAAAAAAAATAATAAATAAAGCCAGTCTATTATCAGAGTAAAATATTTTCACTTTGGTAATTACTACATTACTAATATATGATTATGACTAATGCCCTTAGTCACTTGCCCCTCGGGACCTGCTCCCAACCAATAAGCCTCTACCACCACCCCCCACCACAACACCCCATTCAAACTATCCTTGACCCACACATGACAAACCATTACTCTCCTCTCCCCATTTCACTCAATGATTCCCAAAAATATGGATGATCTTGGTTTGATTAAACATATTCACTGGAAAACATTGATTATACAAACCACAAGCTAAACCGATAGGAAAGATCCAGCTAATTCCCATTATCCACCAATTGTTCCCTCACTCAAAACCAAACTCAAAGGAAATCATTAAAGAGGATTATCACAACCTCCTCAGAGGATCAAAAACATCACGATACCAATTTTCCCTGGACTCTCACACTCTTTTGAAAATGGAAACACCAGTAAATCAGAAAATGAAGAAAATGAAGAACTTCAAAAAACTGTTTTATTTTCAAATATGAAATTTCAAGATGGGGAAGAAATAATCTTCTCACACAACCAAAACAGGAAAAAATATTTGTTTGTTTTGGGAGAATTTAACTTTCAAGGTTATAAACCATATCACCTTGATTTTGGTTGACACAGGAGCCACCACATGCGCCTGTTGCCCATCGACGTTATCAAAGGCGTAACCAAAATATTGAGTTTGATGGATATTTTATACCCAGAATAGATGTATTAATACATCAAACCAAAGGAGCTAAATATTTTAGTAAGTTTGACTGCAAGTCAGAATTCTGGCAAGTCATGCTAACAGAAGAATCCAGACCCCTCACTGCTTTCAGTGCTCCATACAGCCATTATCAATGGAAAGTAATGACATTCGGACTCTGCAATGCACCGCAGATATTCCAGAGATGGATGGATGGTATTTTTTCAAGTGGCATGGGGATCCAAATCAATGGCCCCACATGTACTACCCAGGTGATCAAGATCTCACTTTGAGGATCTTTTCAAGAGCTACAAGCACTATTTCTATAATTTTTCCTAATTCAGGCTTTGAATCTTGACCAGAAGCCTAATGCATAAATTGGTGATAAATTATAGGTTTAATTACGGACAAGACTTACCCAAAAGGTTCTACTCATTTCCTATTTAGCTGTTTGGGTTTCCCTATGATGATTCGGTCTTTGCCTAGGTCTTCCCTATGTTGCATAGAATCTGTTTTTCTGGCATTGTTTAGAGGGTTGGTCAAGTTTTGGATTTACTCAAAGTCCAAGCGAAAATACAAATGGGAGTCAAGAATGGGCAATGGCCAGGAAATTCTTTGGTTAATGAAATTGCTTCCATCTTCTTTCATATTCCACAAGCCCTTTGTGGTGCTGATTCCACAAAACCCTAGTTGTGTATAATGCCAATTCCACAAATCTAGGTAACCTTAGTTGAGTATAAAATTCTACAAATCCTAGGTAACCTTAGTTGTGTATAATGCCAATTCTAGACATCCTAGTTCATCCATCTTCATCTTCTTTCATCTTCCATCCATGCCCCATCTTCAATAATTTCTCTCTTACATCCACCCTATCTGTCAACCATCTCTTCCTCTAAAACACCCACATCATCACCAAAAACCCTAATCCTCTCAACCAGCCGTTCCATCCACTTCTTGCTTCAACAATGACATCTTTTTATCATGACCAAAACCAAGCCCAATTTATCATGGAACCCCATTCATGCCAACATACCCTCTCTCTTTCTACCCACAATCACAAGCAGAAACCAGGCCCTAGCCATCCTAGCAAGCCCAAATACTAACCATGCCAAAAAGATCGATCTAACCCAACCCATAACCCTTTGAATTGCCAAAGCTAACCCTAACCTCATGCCCTAAACACCAACAAGCCTAGATCTACTTGTATGGGATCATGACTTTGGTCCTAAACAACCATCCAGAAACTTGGTGCCTACTTGTATTGTCATAGCCAAGAAACTCAATGCTCACTTGATGAACATGTTCTCAATTTCAACATTCAAATGTAAGCACTGTTGCCTATTGATAATTAGAAAGTATGTTAAGGAGCAACCTCTGAACCTAGGGGCAAGATGCTACGGATTACAAACAGGCCTCATGAACGTGATCATTCATTCTGAAATAGGACTCACAGCATCTAACTGCTCTTCTGTAACCCATACAAAAAGCAACAAACACCATAATAACAATGACCCTCAAATAATAGAGGACAAAGAAAGAAGACCGAGACTACCAAATAGCTCCTTCGGTGCCTTGAGATTCTCCATTAAAGTCAACCTTGGACTCAAAACTCTTTTACAAATGGTTGCAATTGCAAATTATTAGTAGTGCAGAAGAATTGTTCCTCATATCTTTTTACACATTTTTACTGATTTATGAGGTTTCAAGTCCCAAGATTAGGCCACATGTTAGAAGACGGCATTCAGAGCAGAGATTTTAGGCATAAATCAAGAAAACATAGATGAAAGACCTTGTGAATTCCATCTGCTCAAACAGCATAGTGAGTCTATGAATTGGAACAACACCACTACAAATCAGAGAAGGGATTTCTGAAGATGTCATCTTGAATGGATAGTGATATGTATTTTGAAGTTACATATAGAAAACAATAGATGACTAGATGTAGAAACTTAGGTCTTCACTCAAAGGGCATATTGTGATTTTATCACAGATTGCTTTAAATCTGCTTCAACCAAATAGAAAAGAAGAAAACACAAAGATCAATTAAAAGAAAAGGATATGTTCATGATCCTCAGAACTCAATGACAATGATATAGCAACTTAAACCACCCCTTTTTTATGGTTCAGTAATTCAGTACCTAAAATATTATGAAAGAAAGTCAAAGATTTACTTCAAGACAGACGCGCAGTGGATCAAGGGCGACCACCTGATATTTCATTGTTTAAATCCACATATGTTGCTTAACACATTGGAGTATTGAAACAACTTGAAATATTGCTAATCACCTCTTTTAACACCTAAAAACTATCCATTTGAACAGTGTCAGATACAGATTCTTTCAACACAGTTCAGTAAATCCCGTGTTGGGCTTATGATTATCAATTTCGACTTCTGTTGGTACGTTACAACACCATAAACTCAAAAAAGAAATCCCCATGAGAAAAACTAATGAAAATAACAGAAGAATAGATCAAAACTACAAGTTATTTTTTAAATGATTATCAAATTAATTTATTACTAAACAACGTGAAAATTATTAACTACGAAATTTATTATTAACATTGTGACAGGCATCAAAATTCAAGAAGTAGACCTCCCATTAACTTTTGGAAAATGATTATTAAATAAAATATCACAATGACAATTAAAGAAACCAACATGGCAGTTACAAGAATCAGGCTCATCAACTATTCCATACCTGATACATCTTCCCTTCCTCGGAGCCTTTGCAAGACCTGCTTAGCCTCAAGCATCCGCCCTTTACTCACAAGCCACCTTGGAGACTCAGGCAAGTAAAATAAAGTCAGGGCAAAATAAAACAGAGAAGGAATAAATAGGACCCCAAGCATCACCCTCCAACTGGGGTTGGCCATCAACGACATCCCAAAGACCATGCAATATGTAACGAACATCCCCCCTGACCCACTGAATTGAGGAAGTGTATTCAAGAGCCCTCGTATTTCTGCGGGCGCTGTCTCGGATATGTAAACAGGAACAAGGGTGACAGCCAAACCAATCCCAAAACCATCCAAGAGCCTTGCCAAGAGCAGGACATAAACATTTGGAGACCAGAACATTATCAAAGCACTTACAAAGTAAAGAATCGAAGAAAAAATAAGCATTGGGCGCCGACCAATCCAATCTGATATCGGTCCAGAACATGTGGTGATAATTGTTGCTCCAATGAGTGACATGGCCACAATTAGGCCTTCAAGAGTCGGTTCATTGTCCAAATCAAATTCTTCTTTGATGTAAAGTACAGCCGCTGTAGAATATAGAAAACAATTAGAGTACTCTATCAACCTTTCACTGGTATCATCGCAAACCATCCAGAAAATCAGGTTTTAATGGAAATTGCCTAGTTGTTGACAAGAAAGACAAGCAATTGACTCTTTACTCTTTTATTGAACAGCAACTTCGAACGCAACTAATGAAGTAACATCATGTCACCAATAGCAGAATCGTAGTTTTTATTTTGGAAAAAGAGATTTGATTCAAGCCAATTTACCTGCAATTGTAGCATTATCCCAACCTTGCAGAAGATTGCCAATAGAGGCGGCTATAGCCACAAGCACAGCTCCTCTCATTCTCTTGAACTATAATTAAGCCTCGAATTCACAAAAAATATTGTCCTTGCCTGCAAAAAGGAATCCCTCATATAAGCGAGCATTACAATCGCCATAAATAAAGGACCCAGAACCTTTGATCTATTAAAAATTCAGACATTGAATCAAGGGATAAAGTCTGAGACTGTTACTCTACTGCTGAATCTTTTTCTTCTTCCTTTTTTTTTTTTTTAATGTTAAGCTCAACTGCTGAATCATAGATACTCGGACAAACGTTACCCATTTAAAGGGTAGAATCCTTTTCCTTCTTGTTCTAGTTACAAAATAAATAAATAAAGATATACTCAGACAAGGGTGTGAAAAGCCAGCCCAAAAACCATTCAAACCATAAAAACAAGAATTTCAATAGTAATATCCAAAGTTCTTCAAGGAAAATTTCAAACACATCAGTGAAGATAATCTAGGCCAAAAATCCAAGGCTCTCGACCATCAAACAACAAAATCTCACAGACATAAGCGAAATTATTGCAGAATCATCTCAAACCACATTGATCTTCAACACCTGTTCTCAAGCAATGCAACAAGCCATCAAGAAACAATAATTATATAAACTCCAAAAAAATAAATCTTTCACCTATGAGAGTAACAGAGAAACTCCTCCTCTGTACTTCAATGGCTCTGGATCGAGATCAGGCTATAAAGTTCTCGTTACTAAGTTTCTGTGAGACCTAAGGCTTGGAACCAGACAGATACTGGTACAGCAAGCTGGCTAGATAGGTCCAGACAAAGCCCTAAACAAATAAATTAATACTCGAACTAAATAACAAAGTCTTTAACCCTTGGCGCGCTCCCGTTATAACACCTGCACCTTAAAGCCCACGTGTCACCCTCCAACTCCCCCTTTCCATGAGGAACAGCTGCAGAATACATGCATCGAAAAATCACTCTTCAGAGAAAAGACTGAAACTCTTAACTGGTCACTGTGCTAAGAAAGGCAAACCGTCAAAGATCTCGACAAAGTCTGCTTTTATAAGGAGACAGTTAGAAATATCTCTCTTATGCCATGGCCTTTTGGTCGTAAGACTTTCAAGGTTTCCCTAAATCCCATTCTCTACTGCAAATCGCCGGATTGATCAATTGAATTGCATGTTTTGCTGAAATTTTTTAAGATTACTGATAATCAATGGTTTTTTTCATAGTGATGCTGAATATCTCTGCACTAAACGAATGTTTTTCCCACTGGAAACTGTAGAGGATCAGTGAAATCGAGCCGAACAAAATAACAGATAACAAAATGCAATTCTTGTACTCAAGATTTTCAAATGTCATTGGAATATCAGTTTTCTCAAGCTAAAAGTGGTACTAAAAATCTAATGAAAAAAAGAGTAATGGAAATTTAAATCCTTGGAGTTTCAGCAAAAATAGTTGAATGAGAAAAATCCCTTCCTTAAAAAATCCCTTCCTTTAACAAGTGAAGGATTTGAAATCTGTAACACCATTAAAATTCATATAGCATAACGTTCTCTTCTTGATCCTTCAAATTTTCTCAAGGAGCTAAATATGTTACTGAAAATTCTCAAAGATTGGAGAAATCCAAAGTTCTTAAAGAGCTATGAAGTTAGAAAAATTCTCAGTTATCTCTAACCTCTACTGGTAAAAGCAGAATCTCTAGGAATATTCAGCTTTCCTAATCGTTCAAGACATAAGGATCCGTACCTGGATTTCAACTCAAAACCGTTATGTCTTTGATCATCCACAATTTTTCATTCGAAATTCTCAAAAGTTCTGCATTCAAATTCCCACTACTTTACAGATCTCTCTATCTCCTTCTATCTGATCAAAATCAATTAAAAAACTCCGACATTTCTATGCCCTAAAAATTTACAGGTTAGCTCAAAATAACACCTGATTTCTACAGAATCTGGCTCAAAACCAAAACAGCTCCGTTTTTCTCTCAAAAGCCCCTGAAATTCTCTCTCAATTGACCCCCCAAAATTCGCTACACTCTCCACTAGGGAAAACCCCAAAAACCTCTTTATTTCCCCCAGAACCCTAAAACAACTCGATCAACTACATACCCTGAAATTCAACTGCGAATTCCATGCTCCTATACTGAAAACTGTCATGTCAGAAGAGCGTCAGCATATTGATACACCTGGTTATTTTTAAGCGTTATACTTCTCTCTCTCTCTCCTCTTCCTCTCCTCTTCTAATATTACCGGCATTTTTTTCAGCTACCTGACAAAGCGGGGTTGGGTTTCATGGCTCCCTCCTTACCTGGTCTGGGATGGGTACAAAATAAGCGGAGGTGAAACATGTGATAGCTCGAGAGAGGGAGAGAACATATAAAAATAGAGAGAGAGAGAGAGAAAGATAGAGCGGCCATTTCTGGTGGGTAGCCCCTCTGCTGATCTGTACATCGGTGCGACCCCTCTGCTGATCTGTACATCGTACGCTGGATCCATTTGCCCGCAAAACTGCGAAGAAATATCTTTTGTAGATCGTTCTTTTTTCAAAATGACAAAGGAGTCTGTTTATCTCAAAATGACGATTGTGCCCCTCGACGAACTACTTTTTAATACCATGGATACCCCTCTTGATTTGAATTGGACTATTGTGCCCGTCTTCACTGTTAATATGATGATGGCCTTTGCCTTTTTTCCACATTGCCAATTATTTGCCTTTGTATAAAAAAAAGCCCATGTTTAATAGCCTAGGAACTTTACATTGTAATTGACTATAGTGCAATGGCAATCATTTAAAATTTGCTTTGCCAGTCTAAATCTGGGATTGTCTTTCTGGACAAATCATACCTCCTGACCAAGTTGGTTGTCGGAACCGGGAATTCATTTGCCTGGCTCGAATGGTTCAACCCAAGATGGTCAAGCATGATGATAAATTTGAATACTAACATTTAAGACACGTCCAAAAACTATACATGTTGATCATATGTCAAAATGCCATTAATCACTTGGAAAAAGGTTAAGACAATTCTTGTTATTTTCACCGTAACGCCAGATTCCTTCACTTCTAACATTTCAAATTATTCCCCTATACCTTTAATAATAAATATAATTCCACTTTTGAATCCTTTCGAGAATAAATTCTCCCCCTTCACTAAAATGCTGAAAGCCCTTCTATAGTAAAGCTTCAAAACTCCCAAAACATATTCATAAAGCAAAGATATAGTGCAACGGTTGTATCATAGTATAATGCAACCACATTTCTAAAAAATCATGTTTTTGGCATTTGTATGACTCCAAATTTTATACACATATTCTCTTCATCCCCATAATCAATCTTATTGGGGGGAAAAAAAAAATTTAATTTGCACTCTAGATATGGTAAAAGTTAGTACCCTCTAACAAATTCAAGATCTAGGCCTTGACAATTTCAAAATCACTTTTTTGAAGATCTAAGCCTTGAAAAATTCAAAATCATTTTTGTCTTTTTTAGCATTGTTAATCTAATGGTGATAACACTATAATAAAATTTTGGGAATAACAAATTCCTTTTGAGGCCTATATCTAACCTTCTCACTAAAATAAACAACTTATATTGATTGCGCTAGAAAAACACTTTGTAGGGATTTTTTACTAAATTTTCTTTTTGTGATTATTCTTTAGAATTGAAAGAGTATACATCTAAAAAATTGCATCAAATAAATAACTCTAACATGGTTTTTTAATGTGGTTACATTATATTATGATACAACCGTTGCATGAAATCATTGCTCATATTTATAAAGTTCAATATGAAAGACAAAATTTTCAATTTTTAAATAATTTTAGGAAAAATTTAGGATTGGCAATGGGGGTGGCCCAAACCTAAAACAACAAAGGCTTCAGCCACACGTGGTGTTAGTATTTTTTGTTTGAAAAATACTTATATGTATTTCAAAACAACACTATGATATATTATTCTTTCCTAAATTGCTTTGTAGAGAGAGAAAGATGTGGGATTGAGTCTCACATTGAAGATAGGAGAGTTTGTTGAGGTGTATTTATTGTTGAGGTGTATTTAAGAGCACTCATTCACATACAATATACCTTAAGTACAAATGAGAGAGAAGTCACATGTGCAGAGCATACAAAATATGTGACGTATTTGTGCTTGCGCATGAGCGAGGGAGTGGGTGCAAGGGTGTGGGGTCTCTATATAACAAGGGCCCTCCTACCCATACATCTTTTACACCAATTTTTTAGCCTCTCTCAAGAGACCATTTTTTGCAATCCTAGCAAGCAAACCAGTGGACTAATTCTCTCTCTACTCGATTTTATCTCCAATTTTTTAGCTTCTCTCAAAAGACCATTCTCTGCAATCCTAGCAAGCAAACCAGTGGGCTAATTCTCTCTCTACTCGATTTTATCTCTTTCTTTCTCTAAACTATCAAGACTATGGTGTCTATGGCGTGGGTTCCAAGCTCGGGTGCATAGAGCTCAGGAATATTGCTAAAATAACTCTCGATTTTCATGTATCTCGGGGATGGATTGCCTTTTTTATCCACAATAAATACTACATCGAAAGGGGGCAAATATTGTATTGAAATAACGCTCATCCATGCCCAAAAACAAGAAGAATTCGAGATCTAATTTTGCAAATCGTACCATTTTCTTGCCCCACATTTCACCCACTAATCTCCAATACGTGGTGTGAGCTACAAGGCCCATCCCCAGCCCAAGCCTAGCCCGCTGTCAAGCCTATTATAAATATACAAGATACCTGTAAATATATTGTCTGTGAAATATATTATGGGTGTAATACATTACTGCGTAATGCATTACTTGTAAATGGATTGTCACTGTTTGGGTAGTATTTAGATGCAACTTGAGAAATACATTGCTACTGTTCAGCTATATCTGGAAGAAATACAAATGCATTACCATCCAAATATGACAAATATGGCTATGTTTGGCTAACATGATTAGATTTTGGTTTCAACATGATAAGTCATTGGAATAATATGATTGGAATAACATGATTTTATTGTGAAAAGCCTTATTTTTATTTATTTTTTATAGAAGTCTTTTAAATGTCTCTCTATATATAATTTCAAATCAAAATCAAAATATTTATGGTACAAGTTAAAAAATGGGAAGAAATTTGATTAATAAACTAGAAGGTTTTAGTAATTGTAGTAGAAAATTTTGAAATATTGGATGAGACTAAAGAGATATCTTATTGTACTAATCTCTTATGAGGATTATGCTATGTGAAATTTTGATTATGCTATGTAAAAATTTTTTTATTATGATTGTGTTGTGTAATTTCTCGTCGATTACCCATTATTATTTTTATTCTTTTTATTTTTACTAAATTGGGGATAGAAGAATGTATAAATTTTTTATTATTATTGCAGTAGAAAATCGTCCCTCATCAAGTTCTACAACTGTTCAAATCAATTTAGATTTCTTTTTACTTTCAATTACCAATTATTAAAAAAATTTGCTTTTACATTAGAGTCATATGAGGGCTATAACCCAAATTAGGGATGGAGGGATGTAGAATTTTTTTATTACGATTGCAGTAGAAAATTCTACTTACCTTAACAAGTATACAATATAACATATACTTGCAAGAGTGAAATGTTTTCTTAAATGGGAATAGGGTAGAGAGATGCACCCAAAAAATTTACAAAGATTACCCGTCAACCTCGTAATAGATTTTTATATATAATGGATTTAGTGATTTTTGGGGAAATGCCGAATAATATCGATAATGTATTTCTATTTCTTTATTATTAGGGGCGGTTTGGATACGTAGAAATCTATTACGTGACAATAGATTACAAACAAATATGACATTTACATTATTTAGTACACTTTTAATAGTAAAAAAATGGAAAGACATTACCCGAGACTTCCCAAAAATTTTGAAATCCATTACGTGGTAAAGGTGAAAAATCTATTACAAGGTTGACTGGTAATATTTGGAAACCTTTAACGCACTTAAAAAACATTTACCTCTCTCACATATATGTTATATTGTATAATTATTAAGGTGAGTAGAAAGTGAAAATAGGGGATATGAAAAGGGGAATCTAAATTGATTTGAACTGGTGTACGATGACAATTTTCTACTGCGATCATAATAAAAATTTTGTACATCTCTTTATCCTCAATTTGGGTTGTAAACCTCATCTGACTCTCATATAAAAACAAATTTTTTTAATAATTAGTAAGTGAAAGTAAAAAGAAATCTAAATTGATTTTAATAAAAAAAAATTTACATATCTCTATCCCAATTTAGGTTGTACCCCCATTAGCTCTCGTATAAAAATAAAAATAATAATTGATAATCGATGATAAATTATACAACACACTCATAAATAGATTAGTAAAAACTCAATTGAAGTAAGATACCTCTTTAGTCTCATCCAATACTTCAAAATTTTTTACTGCAATTACCAAACCGTCTAGTTTACTAATCAAACTTCTTTCCATTTTTTGATTTGTACCATAAGGATTTGATTTTGGTATTATAAATTTATTGCTTATTTGAAATTATATATAGAGAGACATTTAAAAGACTTACATAATAAATAAATAAAATAAGGTTTTTCACAATAAAATCATGTTATTCCAATCATATTATTCTAATGACTTATCATGTTGAAACCAAAGTCTAATCATGTTAGCCAAATATAGTCAATGCATTTCTCATATTTTTTCATTACCCAAACAGTGACAATCCATTTGCAGGTAACGTAGTACTATTACGCAGTAATGTATTATGCCAGTAATATATTTCATATGCAAAATATTTCCAGGTACCTTAAAGTGTACCTAAACAGTGCAAATATCATATTTCCTTATAACCTAGTGTCACATACGAGGAAAATATGGGGACACCAAATTTTAGTTTTTGAGGTTCTCACATAAACCTTGAAGTGTAATTTTGAGAGGTTCTCGCGAAGAGGCAACAGGGTGGGCCAAGCCCCACCCAAGAGCCTTGGCCCGGTCTAAAAAAGGCCTAAGGCCCCTTTGGCCCAAACCTAATCAAGGCCTTGGCCGGGTAGTGCCTTGCTTAATAAAACTTAAAATAATAATATAAAAATCAAGCCGAGCCAACCATACCCCTTAGCCCAAAGCAGGCCCGGTCCTTTAGCAAATTTCTGTCCGCTCGACCCATTATCATCCCTAGATCTCTCCTGCTAACATGTATTACTTTGCGTCCGGCAAGTACAGTTTCTTACACTCCATTAAATGAGATCTCCCTCCCGCCTGCACATGCACCAATTCTATAATCCGCATTAGTATACGAAACTGTTGACCGCATGAATATCTGCCGTCCAAGCACATTCAATCTCATGGGTTGCAAATTAAATTATTGTGCTCAGCCGGCTACTCATTTTTTTATACAGAAAAAGAAAGGATTACTTTCAAATTCTCCAAGAAATAAAACGACAGCCTCCTAAATGGCGTGTCATTTTGTCGCC